GAGCGCTGGAGGTAAAACTGCAAAAAAAGAACAAAATTAGTAAAAAAGTGGTTAAGGTGAGGTCTTTGGCGTTGATCACTAATCAACTTCATTTTGAATGCGCCCATCCATTTGTTTTCATTCAGAATCGCAGTGGCGTTTGAATGCGTGCGTAGCCATCCGCTCACAAAGCCTTTTATCAGAAAAAGGATCGAGGAGAGTGACTAACAATGGATTGCGGAGCATCTCTAATGAACCGCCTGCTCTTATCCCAGTAGAGGGTACCAGTCAACAACGGTAATATGCTGTTCTGTTACTGTTCCAGAAGGTTAGGAGACCTGAATTGGGATTTCTTCTGGATTCGATCCCCGGACCATGGTAGCGCAACGCACAGCCTACCAATTCACCAACAAAACCAACTGTACTTGATGGTATTACTCTTGCTACTCTTATCTAATCACTCGTTGATATCATGCCTCTTTTGAGGGGTCCTTCAGGAACGGGAACGATCACCATCAAATCTTAGCCATGGTATCCATGAAAGACGAGCAAAAATAGGCAAACTGCTAGTTCAATGAGTGAGGGGAACATAGAATGGGGTAAGGTACTGCTTGCTTGGAATCCTGCCACCTACCCTTGACTACGACATTTTCAATTCAAAGGATTTTCTTGGGAATAAAGCGGCTGTCAGTAGAACTGCCCCCTAAGCCATTCAGAATGAGAGTACTGAGCAGGAATGAACGCCGAGCATCGGGTGCATGAAAGAGTGAGAACCAAGTACGATCCTCCCCCGTACCCAAGGTGACAGAGAACGTCGAGAGGTATCAAAAAATCACAGTACAGAGGTAGGAATGTTGTACCATGGGGTCGTTGAATCTCAAGTGGACTAGAGAGGGATATCGGGATAAGATTGAGTCACCAATCAAATAATGTGAAGAAGTGGTTACTCAAAAAAGTGGCAGTCTTTGTTTTTTTTTCAAAAGCTATGTTACGGTAAAATCGGAGGCCAGACATCTCATCCCATCTCATCCCATTCTGCAGGTTTTCGGTTCTTTTGAGTTTTTTTACATCAACCACTCAGCAAAGGACAGTTCTTGGCTCGGTGCCCTTTCTTTTCTTTTTTTTTAACGAGGACCACGGGCTTCGTCTTTCGCTAACTCTTGAATTAATGATGAACTCAGCAAAAAGCAGTCTGTTGTGGACAACTCGCTGACATTTTTTTCAAAGCACTT